TGAACCACTGTCATCATTCTTTGTCCAGAAAAGTGGCTGAGAAAAGAACACTGAGAAGGAAGTTTTCAAAGTGTTGGTGCAGAATACCTGATGTTCAGCTGCTTACAGTGTTACCTGCTCATTGTTTCAAACTCTCTTGCAGTTAAGTATCAAAGATGAAATCGAGGATGAGGAAGCGACTATTGAGGATTACGTTGATGGAAAGATGAGCGACTGGGATGAATCTTCAGTTCATAAAATGTATTCAGTTGCTGCTCAGTGTCTGAATGACAAAAAAACCAGAAGGCCAGGCATGAAGATGGTATGTCCTCTTTCAGACAAAAGACTTGAGTGCGTGTGTTTGTGGTTACAGTATCAGTTATTTATATTTCTGTCTGTTCTCTTGCAGGTCCAACAGCATCTACAAGAGATAAAAACTTGAGACGTGTTTCTTCTGATATACGAATGTTTTTGTAATGGAGCAAACACCAATAGCAAATATTTTATTAGCATTTAGTGTGGCATTACCAGCTTTTCTACTTTCCACAACTTTTCTGCCTGTAAGGTGTGTTGCTGGCCTCTCAGCATTGTGGTTTTTTTGTTAACTGAGCAGCCTTTTTACATATCGTTAGCCATTGGGCCCTTAACAGGAGAAAACTGGGGTTTTTTTATTAACAAATCACAGTGCTGGTGCATCTTCTCTGTACAGTTCTGGATTAGCATCTATTTGATTCTTCTGATTTCCAAGTATCAAGTATGTCTGCTGCGACGGCACATGACAGTAACAGAGTAGGATTTTATTTTTTGCAGGCTGCTTTCTTGATCAAGTGTAGTAGACCTGATAATAAATATAAATGGCACTTGCATTGTCTTTTGGGGATAAAAACAATAGCAGTGCTCATTTAAAACAAACTTTATTTAGCATTTTAACTTGAGAGTTCATATGAGTGGGAATGGGCCATTAGGATTTGTGAATGTGACTAGTTTTCAAAATCGTCTCGGGATTAATTAGTCAAATGCTGGATGGCATATTCTAGGTTGGTTTTTGGTTTCAGGAATTCCCAGGCAAAGCAATTATCTTGCAGTGCAAATGCAAAAATACATACGGCTTTTTCCAGCGAACTCTGCACGATAACAAACTGTATGATTTTTGTTCATAGGAAGACTCTTGGCTACTTTGAGTATTTCACACTTCAGGAGAAGATTCCATATGGATTATAAATACAGATGGCTTATTCTGTTAAAGGGACCAGAATAAATAATTCTGCAAAGACCAATTTTGCATTTCCCTTCGTCAGATGAATAAGCTATTTCTAAAAATATATTTGTATGCATGTGTATTAATAACTAAATATTAAAATACACTTTTTAAAAAACAACATGGAAAGCTTTCTGAAATAAAAACATTGACAGATCAAAGCAGACTAAAAATGGAATGAAAGTGACTGGTAATACTCCAGGTACTTTGGACTAAGGAAGTATGAATATACTGCCATTGTAAGTGAAAGAGGTTCTTTTTGTACAAACTTTTTTTGCACTTAGTGAACTTTTTGGACAGCTTAGGGGTAGGAAAATAGCCTGGTTTGCAGCTAAATTTGCAATTCCATGATCATCAGAGAAAAAGGTAACACTAACAAGTGATCAGACTGCATTCAGAGATAATATCACGGCTGGGCTTTGCAAATGAAGATATGGGAAGGGCTCTACCCACACTTGCTACAAGCTTGCTGATGGCTAAAAAGGCTGATGAGGGACAGGCAAGTCCGGTTGCAAAAGGCACA